CGCTTGTGGCTGTCAGACACAAGCTGCAGTGGGAGGGAAAATAAGGACGCGGCACAGAAAAAGCAGAGGTTAATTGAAAGTCTATGGAACAAATTTGTCATTCATCACCTTCCAGCTCCGCTTCTGCCTATTAGACCAACAGGGCACTCAGTAAAGACCAGAGGCCTCCTGGCTGAATCAATGAAGCTGCTCGCAGACCCTGGGAGCTGCCAGTGTGCCGGAGGAAACACGCCTCTGTGCGCTGCATGGGCCGCCACAGCCTAGCTGCACGGCTGCTTCCCTGGCCAGTCCTCACCGAGCAAAGCCAGACAGGAAACAGGCTCTGCGTGGGGACCGCAGCACCTAGGCAGCGCTTCCCCCATCCAGGGAAAGTACAGGAAACCCACTCCAGCCCCCCAGAAAAATTGCCCCACTGTGGTTTGGATATGGCTTGAGTGTGTCCCTCTGAATTCATGTGCTAAAGTTTGACCAACAGTGATATTGATAGGCAATAGAATGTTTAAGAGGTGGGGTCTGGGGCCAGCCAGATGGCTCAGCAGACTAAAGCACCTACTTAGGCTGATGCAGGGACTGGGGTTCGAACCCCAGCATGCCATGCTGGCCCTGCCCCGGGGGCGCACTGAGATGGCAACGGAGACTGGGCGTGGTGTCATGCGCCTGTAATCCCAGGGTTTGGGAGGCTGAATACAGGAGAATCACTACAAGTCCAATCTGTGTAGTGAGACCCTGTAGATCTTGTACTAAATACATTAAAAAAAAAAAAAAAAAAGAGGTGGGGCCCAGTGGAAGGCAGTTCAGGTGTTGGGCTCACCACCTCCAGAAGGTACCCATGTAGGTCTTGAAAGATCCAGTTAACACCTATGTGAAAAGAGCAACACTGAACCGTCCCTTTTCTCTGACCTTTGCTCTGATCACGTGACCTCTTCTCCTATTTTTGACCAGGGGGTTCCTAACCAGAGTCTAACAAGTAGGACAGTGCAATCTTAAGCTTTCAACTTCTGAAACTGTGAGCTCAATAAACCTCTTTTCATTATAAAGTACCCAATCTTGGGTATTTTGTTACAGAAACAGAAAACAGGCTAAAACAATTTCTTTCCTTCATTCATTGATAGAATTTTTTTTTTTTTTTCGGAATCAGGGATTGAACTCAGGCCCTTGTGCTTGCCAGGCAAGTGCTTATTCTACTGAGCTGTCTCCCTGGCCCTAATAGAAATTTTTTTTAAAAATCACTAGACGTGTGACAAATGAAAGAAAAATCTTAAGATTAATAAAAAAATAAACAGCAGTCCAACTGTACCATCAGAGAAATGTGGAAAGACATTGCATCCATGAGAAGAGAATAGATTGCAAGGAAAAGTGACTCACTGGGGAGTAAGAAAACAAGTTATCAGAATCTAAATTATATGGCTGCAGAACTACAAATAAAGAATTGGAAAATAAAGTGGAGGAACTCTCCAAAATGTAGAGTAAAAAAATAGTGAGAAAATATGAGAGAAATGACTAGAGACTTAGCAGACCAATCAAGGAGGTCTAATATTTGGAAAACTAGATGTTCTTAAAGAAGAGAGGCAGGAAAGACAACTCAGTGGCACAGCACCTGCCTAGGCGAGGATCTTGCCTAAGCTCGGGATCCCAAGTTCAATTCCCAGTACCAAGAACAAAACCAAAACCAAATTAAGTTTTAAAATAGGAAGAAGAAGGGCCAGGGAGATGGCTCAGTGGAATAAGCGCTTCCCCGGCAAGTGCAAGGGCCTGAGTTCAATCCCCGGTTCTGCCAAAAAAAATAAAAAAATAAATTAAATTAAATAGAAAGAAGAGAGAGAGAGAGAGAGAGAGAGAGAGAGAGAGAGAGAGAGAGAGAGAGAGAGAGAAAAGAAATCAACTACTGAATTAAACAGGGAAGCCAGGGGCTGGCAAGATAGCTCAGCAGACTAAGCGCCTGCTTGGGCAAGCACAGGGACCGGGTTTGATCCCAGGCACTGAATGCTGCACTGGGCCCCACCCCCAGGCATGCTGAGCCAGAAGTGTAGGCATGGTGGCACACGCCTGTAATCCCAGCACTGCAGGGGCTGAAAACAGGAGGATCACTATGAGTCTGAGCTGCCTAGTGAAACTCTGTACCAAAAAGTGGGAGACGAAGGGGAAGCCGGGTATGGTGGTGCGTGCCTGTAACCCCAGCACGCGGGAGGCTGAGGCAGGAGGTTCGCTGTGAGTTCGAGACCAGCCTGGGCAACAAATTGAGTTCAAGGCCAGGCTGAACTGCATCGTGAGACTCTTGTCTAAATAAATAAATAAGGAGTTTTCTAGAATTCAAGGCAGAATGGAAGCTTTTGACTAAGAGAGACTAATTAGTAAAATGAATTTTAAAATATTCACCAAAGAATTCACTGTTGGGAAACAGCAGTCGGAAGTTTCCCACAAAAGAAGGAAGACCCACCTGTGGCTTCTTGTCAGCCATACAGGACCCAGAAGACGGCAGAGCTGTGCCTTCTGCTTTCTAAGGGAAAATGATTTTTTTGAAAATGTGTTCAAACTATCAAAGAAAGAAAAAGGCTCAGACATCCAAACACTCAAGAGAAAAATTACCTCCCGGATATCTTTTCTAAAGAAATTGCTGGAGGAGACGTTCTAACAAAATGAACAAGATCTGGAGAAGGAGAAAAGCCTGAGGAGAGGAAGCCCCAGACAGTGCCTGGTGAGGACAAGAATTTGGGGACCTCCAAATACGAGGGCTTCAAGAGCACAAAGGAACCAGGAATTACAGGACTGTAGCAGCAAGAAATTGGAAGATATTTCTAAAATGATAACAAAGACTCTTTGCTTCTACCAAAAAAATCCAGGACAGAGACTGGGCATGGTGAGACTGGGCGTGGTGGCGCGCGCCTGTAATCCCCGCTCTTGGGAGGCTGTAAACAGGTGGATCACTAGGAGTCCAATCTAGTAGTGAGACCCTGAACACCCTGTACACCCTTCCATAAAATACAAATAAATAAATAAATAAATAAATAAATAAATAAATAAATAAATAACATAAAATTAAAAATCCAGGACAAGCACTTAAAAACTCCAAGAAAAAAAATTATTTTTTGGGGGGGGTACTGGGGATTGAACTCAGGCCCTTGCACTTGCCAGGAAAGCACTTATTCTACTGAGCTATCTTCCCGACCCTTCCAAGAAAAAAGTTTACCCAAAATAATTACGATCTAAACACAGAGCAGACTAAATTGAAGCATAATTTCAACAACCGATGGAAAATACAGAAAGATCATCTCTTTGGGTTTGATGTAGAGAACATTTTCTCTTCAGTCTTTGTACCAGGGCTGTGATGTAAGAGTGAAATTGGGGGAAAGGTGATTCTTCTAAACCAGCCCGTTCAACACAGAAAACAGTATTTACATGACCATCAAAATACAAAGCCATTTCCTTGGATTTCAACTTTTAAAAATCAATCTGTGTATAAGGCACCGATGACATAAATGTGGTTGAAGAAGAGAATGTAAATGTCACCAACTTTGACAACGCAAATAGAAAGCTGGAAGAAGCTGAGAAGTTAAAAGGAGTGGGTAAGAGAGGTGCGTGGAAGGACAGTAGACTTGACAATGTTCTCATCTTGCTGAATGAGTATGGAGAATGATTGTTTCACTCTGAAGGAATAAGAATTGAGTGTGTTAAGGAATATTAAAGTTGCTAAGGTAAGCTGGGCACAGCGGTGCATGTCTATAAACCTAGCACTTTACATTAAAGCAATTAAACAATTAAAAAAAATAAAACAGCACTCGGGGCTGATACAGGGGCATCACCGTGAGTTCCAGGCCAGCCTGAGCTACACAGTGAGTTCAACATCAGCCTGAAAAGAGCTTTGTAGGCAAAGCTCATATAGCGAAGAGCTTGTATAGCAAGACCCTGTCTCAAAAAACATTCTTGCAAGGGCCAGAGAGATGGCTCAGTAGCATAAGTGCTTCCCTGGCAAGTGCAAGGGCCTGAGTTCAATCCCTATCTCTGCAAAAAAAAAAAAAAAGT